TAGTTAAGAGTTTTTGGCCAGCAAAATAAGTGGGAATTTTACAAATTGTTGTTGAACTTGATTTCGATTTTCGCCAATTTATAACAAAGTTAAATGTACTCAACTTAAAATTGAATACAATTGATTGGCTTGGAGCTTAAAGGAAATTGTTAAAGAGAGGAACAACAAAATTATATTGGCTATAATTAATATATAATTAAAGCTTGTATAAAAACAATTTGTATGTTCATATTAACTCTAAAAAAAAATCGTTAATATCTCAATAAATGTTTAATATTAGCAAATACATGTTGTATATTAGAAATAAATTGTGAATTAAGTTTGAGTAAAGGCCATATATACATGATAAAATGAAATATGATTCTACATAAGTTATGTAAAATAGTTTTGTTTTAAAGACTCGCTAAAAAAGGGTAATTCGATTTTTCTACACCTCATTTTAAGCATTTTTAACATTTCTTTAGTAATACGCAATTAAACTGATATAATTTGATTACAACTTTTTCATTGATTTAAGGACTTGGCCTAACTTAGTTATTCAACAAAGCTATCTATTTCGTTGCACTAATTTCTAAACAATATTCAAGGAAAATATATTGGAAATTCCGAACACACATGCTTAGACAAAGCTCTGTTTGCTTGGCCATTGAAGCATCGCAAAAGTTGACATAAGACTTTGATGTGGAGGGCGTGGGAGTTGGATGGTCGTGTAGATGGGCGTGGCACGTTTCGCACTCGAGCGGCAGCCAAAAGGCAGCTTGTTATAATTTCCATTCGCGCTGTTTAACATAATAAAGCAATAAGCTGCCACAGCATTTGTCGCAGACACTGCAAATGAACACGAACCAGAGCACTGGGCAAACACTTCAGTTTCTCTATTTTTTTTCCCCTCTATCTCGGCCTGTGTGTGCGTGTTGGTTTTGTGTCAATTTACTGAACAAGAATGGGGCAGCCCACATACATGCATATATGAAAATAATAAACAAAAGTGCAGGCTTTAGTAAATATTTATACAAGAAAATATGCATCAAATTATAGTCTGGGCCGGGTCTGTAGTGTCTGACTTACCAAGTGCACAACAATAAGGGAAAGCCAACACAAAAACAGAGAGAGTAAGAGGGAAAACCAAAGAGAAAGAGAGAGCGTTACGCATGTGTGCTGTGCATGCATAATTTTAAGGCATTATATGCGAAAGTGCTTTGAAATATTTGCAAATTAAGCCTGAAAAATTGTGATATTATCTACTTAGGATGAAACATCAAATACCAAATGTATAAATTTAAAAAAAAAACACAATTTTTTATATATAATAGGATAGATGTTCATTATAAAACAGCTTGTGGTATAATCTTTAGATAATCATATAAAGAATTATTCTTTTTTAAGAAAATAAATAATATTTTTATAAAATAAAGAAAAGACTGTCTAGTATTTCATGTTTATTTACTTGATTTCTAGCTATGAGGTAGTAGGGGGCAGGTCGAGCGGGGGGCAGGTAATAGCTATAAAATGAATGATACTTGATAGATATATACTATTTTAGGAGCGACATGTCAAGATTGGTGACTCTAGTTCTTATTATTTACCAAAATGGCTCAAAAAACAGGATTTCGATTTCGATAATTATCGATTAAATGGAAAGGGGGCAAGTTATCGAATATCGGACAATAACGAACTCGATCTGCGTAGGCACCAGGAGGACCTACAGCAAAAATATCAAGTCTCTAGTCTCTACTTTATGGGGTCGGAGTTGCTTCCTTCTGTCAGTTATATACATTTGCACAAATACCCTTTTCACCCATTTTAAATGGGTTTAGGGTATAAAAATAGAAAAACTAAGTCTCATAATTTTCCATTAGGAGAGCACAACGGAAACCCAGAATCAAGTAACAAATATATGAACTCTTGTTAGCAGCTCACAGAATAGTTTCCTCTTTATATAAATTTTCATTTTCGCTGCCCCTCTCTGCATATTCGCTAGCTCTTCTATTCAATGTAAGCTGACAACAATTGCCGGATCACAGGTCGGAAGCGCCCACAATTTGCTTGCTGCTCGCTGGTGGCGCCAGCTCGTAAAATGGATTCTTTTTAATGCAACGCATAGCCACCTGCTCGACCTGAAATGGACAAGCAGGACGAGAGCAGTGGGACAATCCACAATGGGAAGAATTCCAAGACTTTTATACAACTTTCACTCAGCCTCAACCCGCAACTTGTTGGCAACTGTAGGGAATTTAATTATGCAATGCCTTTCACTGGCACCGACTTGGCAGACCCTAGCAAAAACCCTGGAGCATCGTTTGCTAACACAACCAAACACAGATAGAGCCCACATACACACACACACATGCGGCTGATGTGCGCCTAATTGCAAGCTTTGCTAAAATTAATTTCAAGCTTCAAATAATATTAGCCATGGGACACCAGCTTTGGACTGAAATAGCACATACAACATAAAATGGGCGGAAGTAAGACAGAGCTAGCATTGAAGGACAATGGACAACTTGCCGCTGCACGTGCTCAACGCGGCGTATGCGTAATACGCCAGCCAGGTGATACCAGGTGATATATATATAAATCTGGCAGGTCGAGGTATGCACACTCGAGACGGGTTCAAGAAGTTAAGAAACTGAATAGAATCTTGGAAGCTGCATTTGATGAAAATATATGTCTATATAGTATTCCATTAATCTGTTTTAACAATTATTTTTATTTATTAATTAATTTTAAATATTGTAAGATTTTCAAATAAAACTTTAAATAAAATGTTATATATTAATATACATATATACATATGCATTGACACATAAATACTTAGTATCTCGTATCTTTACCTATCTCTAGCTGTATATATCTATATAATCATTTAGCTAGAATGATTTTCTTAATATTTATTTTCCTTTGCCTAATTTAATCGCCAATGTGCGTCTGTTTCTATATCAATAAATAGATAGTATGTTTCTACAAAAAGCTTATAAGAGAAATGAACTTGTTAGTGAGAACTATTTGCGAGAAAAGTACAAATAAGGGAACAACATTCTTGAGCTGACTGAGCGATTCAATCAATTAGGCAAGCACAATAAAATAACAGAGTAGCAACGGAATTCCAGACATTAGCAAACCCCAAATCCCTCTATAGCTCATCAGAAGCCACAAGCATCTTACCAAGCTAAAAAGCGTGAAATATAGCAACTGTAGACTCTGCCTTGAAGACGACAAGAAACTAAACCAGGATGAGACTTTAGCGCTTAGCACATCAGGAACTGGGGCCGCAGTCTTAGTATATTAGCTTTAAGGACTCTTAAGCCAGGGACAATCCTTGCGTGCTTGCCAACAGTAGGACTCAAGAAGGGGCTATAGCTCATAGACCAGAGGTCTTACAAAATAATATTATTATTAGCCACATAACTAATAATACTGATAATAAAGCAAATCAAAGTATATAAACTCTGCTAACTTTTTGATGAGACCTTTAAGAACATTCACATTCGCATTACTCAACGCGTGACCCTCGGATAAAGTCCATTAATGCCTATTTGGGCTGTTTGTTCGCTTCGGGTTGACGTTGTCGTCCTCCTAATTAGCTACGAGTCTCGTACTGTGACTGTGATTTTCGCTTAGGACTCACCTTTCTACATTGTGGTTCTAATTTAGGCAGCCCCAACGGTTGCCAGCAGTTGCTAATCAGTGTAATTATCGTTTATGGAGCGCAAAATTATTAATAAAATTTCGTACGCTTTGCGCCCACTTTGAGCTGCCTGCCTGCCTGCCTGAATGTCTGTCTGCCTGGCGGGCTGTTTAATTGATTTATTGAGCCGTAATAATTGCAAATTGCTTTTAATTGTTTTGGGCAAAGATAAAAGCGTGTTATGGATATCACCAGCTGCAATTGGATTAACATGCCAATGCCAGGAGCGTTGACGGCACCACAGCCCGACTGACAACATAATTCAGAGTGACAGAACGACAACTGCCAGGCAAGTGTGTGGCACGATGATGATTTAATCGGACGAGTGTGATGGCATATGCCAAGTTATGCAAATGCTGTAAAGTTGCAATAGGCAAAGGCTCATGGGCAGATTTATGGAATGAGATGAAGTTCCTTTACATTGATGGAATATATCCAAGAAAAATACATTGCAATTAATTTCAAATGGATGCTTACTCAAAAAGGTTTCAAGAAGATAGATACTGCATATATATATATATATATAATATATCTTTTTAAATTGGGGATTGAAGAATATCGCAAATAAATGCCAAGCCCCTGATTAATTGAAATTTTAACAAAGAAACTCTTACAAAACATAACATCATGGAAAATTATATAAGCTAAGCTGGATTTAATTTTTACGCTGCCAAAATATAATTTTAACAATCTATGTATATATTATTTCCGAAGGTAAAAATATATTTTTAATCTAACTTAAAATATCAACAACAATAATAATAATAATAATTAGTTTTCTAATCAGAATCATTTCTGGATTTGATGGCTAAAAATAGATTTATGCAATTAAATAAAAGATTCTTTTGTTTTGCTTTGATTTATTGTAAACTAATATTGTTTGCGGCCTTAAGATATTAATTTTATATGTTTAATCATATTCATAAGAGAAAGAAAAAACTAAGCAGAGCAATAAAATGTTGTCCTACTTTGCTTTCTTGCTTTTCACAACAATTCCCTCTTTTTGTCTCAAGCGGACAATATATATATATATATATATATATATATATTATTTTTTATATATCCCTGAATCGATTTAAGGTTGAAAATTGGAATTCAAATCTTGAGTCAAACAAACATTTGCGAAATCTGTAAGTCATAATTAAAAACGATTTCAAATATTTAAAGAATTTTGAAGAAAACGAAACAATTACTTTTAATTAATTCGCATGATATACAAAATACTCACAATTCTTTCTATATATTTTCTCATTTGATTAGGTTAATTTCTTAATCTTAAACTTGCGCCATATATAGCTATTAATTAACTTACCTTTGTGTAGCTCTCAGTGGAGCGTATGTCGTTGATGGTCCATGGCAACATGGAGGCCGAATAGCGCGGATCGACGGACGCACTGCCGCGATATGTTAACGAAACGAGTCGAGTTTTCATCTTGATCGGATTGTTTTTCCTTTGGCTCGACTTGTGTGTATACCGGCTGCGTATACAGTTGGTTGTTTTCAATGTTATGTTATTTGAATATTAAATGCAGTACAAGTTCAATTTGCAATGCAAATTACATGTTCTCATTTTATTATTTGTTTTTTGTTTTTTTTTATTTTTACTTTACGCTCATTGGGTTTCTGTACTGTTGTTGTTGCTTTGCCGTTTCTTAATTACTTTTTAATTGTTGTGATTTGCTACATGAGGCAAGTAAATAAATAGACATTAAACTGAAATCAATATTAAATTAACATGCGGCCAGTGTTCCAATTTAGAGCGAATGCCGAAGTGCGAGTCCTGCATGAGTCACGCCTGGTGCTCACTGGAGACCTTTGGGGTCTAACGGGAGTAACGGCATTTGTTGGTAAGGACAATGACCACCTGACTGATATACTTTTTGGATTGATGGACAATTTATTTGCGGCGCATCAACAGCAAAGTTTACTATCAATATTGATTTTTCTGTGCGCTACCCTGGCACACAGACTTTTTAATACCCTTGCAGAGGGCATTATAAAATTGTTACCAAATGCGTAACGCATAGAACGAGACAGCATTGATGGTATAACGCATACATTTATCATTTATATAAACTATTTTCTCATAGGTCTATATTCCTTGCATAATAATAAATACCATGTATTCGAAAAGTAAATTGTCTATCAAAACAGCTTTCTGCTGTTCAGTTTGAAGACATTTCGAAAATCTACACTAGGTTTGCAAGGGTATTTGAGCTTCGGTGCGCCGAGAAAAAATATGCGTTCTTTCTTGTTTTACTTTATTGCCGCTTCGCATTCGCAAAGGCAGAGTTTCTGCTTCTTCTTAGCTTTTTTTGCACGCGACTGCCAGAAATAGGAATGTGTGTGCCAGAGGACGAGAGCCACCACCACAAGTGGCTGGGGCTGGGACAGGGACAGGGACAGGGGCTGGGGCTGGGGCATGGGCAGAAGAAGCCAGAATCACCCCTAAAAAAAAATTCGTTCGATGGCAATGTTGGAATTTACTTTTGCATAAACATTTACATTTTACTTTCCTATGGTTTCACAATGTTTTTTTTCGCTTTTAAGTTTACTTCTGCCGTTTCGGCACACACACGTACATACATGCAGCACGCGACACATAGACTCGCACACACACACACACACGTACGCGACACGTTTATTGGTATTCGTGGGATTTGCAACAAAATAACAAGTCAACTAACTGAATGGAGGCGGATACATCAAATCGCTTTGAAATTACGTAGAGCACTGAATCGGTATCCGTACGAATGATGGCTCCAATGTTCCTGACAGTGTGACAACGGAACATTTCTCTATGCCGATGTAGCGGCGGCAACGACAGACGTCCTTCGTCCTGCAGATTGGGCGCATGCGTTGATATTTGCGAACAACGCTGATGACAATAAGCGAACGCGGGAACAATCAATTGGACCGATTTGGCGTTTCATTTTATGTTCTTTTTTTAAAGCCATTACTTAAGTACTCTATTGGATATGGTTTAAATTGCAATAGACTTCTTGCCCGCCAAACAATAACACAAATCCAAATAAACAAATGATAGCATTCCGCTCAGAAACAGTTTGAGTCTATTGGCCGACCGCCACAAATTATCGTTCACAGCTGAACAGCTGCTTGTAAAAGCCGATCGCATGCATGCGCAAAAACAGTGCTGCAAAGTACTTGCATAAATAGTTATCGATAGTAGATGGCGTTATTATTTAAATTGCAGGCAATTCTAACGTTTTATTGTTAGAGAAACTAAAAAATAAAATACCTATAATTAAATTCAAAGATAATCATACGTTAATAATAATTTACAACGATGCCGCATTCAAAACGCTTACTAACACTACCGGGTGCTCGCGTCTTCTCTTCTTCTTCTGCTGCTTTGCCAGCTTTGGGTTTGTGCCAAGCTGTTGTAAGCCATGTTTTAGCCAGTTAGTTTGTGCTGGAACACGTTAGCCAACAGGTGTGTACCGAATGCCGCTGTTGCGCTTTATTTTTGATCTGCGTGTGATTCGTGGGTACGTTTTCGGTATATTTTCTAGGGTGTGCGTGTAGAAGAAGAGACTTTCACTACGGTTCAAAGCCCAAAGGCAGACAGCAGCAGATGCGACTAACGTTAACATTAATTAATGCGCTTCGCACGCGTTGTCGTTATTTCAAACTTCAAGAGTGGCTTAAAGCTGCTGGCTTATGAGTTTTTTACAGCTCCTCCGGCTCTCGCGTTTTCGCATTCGCATATGTTGTTTAATGTTTCAACTTATATTGGTTAATTTCTCACCAACGACAAACACAATGAGCCGCCATCAGCTAGGTGTGTGTGTGTGTGTGTGAAAAAGGCTATAAAAAAGATATGGAACAACAACAATAACGAAAAATAGAGACTTTTGTCAGCGACAGCGACGGAACCACGGCTGTTTTGAAAAGTACCGTTAGTGCGCGAATGGAGTATTTAAAGTTAATTTAAATAATGAGAAATTTGCGCTCATAATTGATTTAAGTAGCGCAACAGACAGCAACAACACAGCTCATGCATTTGCATAATTTTCCACACACACACACACACATGAACATTTGCTTCGCTTTAGTTGCCAGTTGCAGTGGCAGCAACAAGTGGCATTTGTTGTTCTTGCACTCACACAGTTGCACGGCTCGTTGTGTACTTAAATGGCCAAGTTAGAATCCACATTCCACAGAAAGAACAACCACAACACAATGCATCCAGAAGGAAGTGGCCAAGCAACGGCAATCGAGCACCAACAACTACAACAACAACAACAACAATAATCTATTAGTTTGTGAGCAAATTTCAAAATAATTGCACATTCTAGTCAATTTAGCCCGGGCACGAAGAACTGAGCGCTGTGGAAAACTGCAATGATGTGCATTATTTGAAATTTGTACACGAACACACACACACAGAGAGAGAGACAAATACACAGGTGAAACAGGTAGGCCGGCGCAGTAAGCGTCGACCGCGACCGCGACTGCGTGCAGTTTTTCATTCTTAGCGTCCCACACACAAACAGACACACACACACACACATGTGCGTGCGCGCGCTCGCTCGCGATCCAATTGGATTTTATGTCAAGCTTCGTTGACACGACTCTCTTCTTCTTCTGGCGCACACATACGTAAACATACATAGATATGTTTTGTATGCTTATTGAACTAGTTAAATCTATAACCTCGCTGGCCTTAATTATCATAACAATAGACAAAAACAAAAAGGCACACAAATAACCCGCAGCGCACAGCTTCAAGATTTGCAGCGGCAGAAGAGTGTATAAGAATGTGGCCCAAAAGCGAAATAGTCACAACATAATTAGAACGAGCGAAAGGCTGGAAAATAGCGCGCGGTCAAATGTCGCACAGTGGCTTGCGCAGCAGAAAAAACCAAGAGTCAAAGGCTGCATAAATCTGAAAGCCAAATCTATTCTAAATGCAAATGCAGTGTGACCAAATCAAATTGATATTGGAATTGGAACAGAACCGTTAGAGTTGGGGCCTTGCATCGATTAAGGTGAATGGAAAATTTAGAAGGAAACGAAATATGAATGGAAACCTTGCTGGAGCTTAAAACAAATTGATAAAATTTGTAATTTCTGCTTTGAATTTAGAAAAGTGTTGGCTTTTGTTGGCGTAAAGTGGAGCAAATCTAATTGAAAAATTTGCTATTCGTAAATATTCATATTTTGCAAAATTTAAAATTTATAATCATAAAACGGTTATTGTACTTCTATTGTCACTAAAATAGCAAATGGGATAGAGTTCGACAAAAAAAAGCTTCAGACAAAGCTTCAACATTTCAAAAGAATTCATAAGCACGCGCTAATGTCATGCACACACACACACACACACACATAGACGTCACGCACATAGCGTCACCTCTGATCTTGCCACATTCCCAATTCTAATGGCAACCACTGTGCGACGAGACAAGTTGCGACTTGTCGCTGGCGATGCGTGAGCCGCGCGCTGTGCGCTGCGAGGTGTCTTGGTAGCACCTGTTGTAAATGTAACCGGCTCACGTTGCGTCTTATTAGAAGCCGCAGTCATCGCCCGCCCCTAGTCCGAAACAGGAAGGCAAGAAAAAGACCAAAAAAAAAAAAAAACAAAATGTATATGAATAAAATTGAAAAAAGAGCGTACTGAAAAACCGGTTGCTGTGAAAACGAAAGAAAAACTTTATCTCACTGTTGCAAGCTCTTTTCTTTTTGTGTGAGTTTGTGTATATTTTTTTTTTTTCGTGACATTTGGTTTTTCTTTTCCACAGTTCCAGTTTCAGTATTCGATTTTGGTGAAATCAATAGAAAGTGAATTGCAAGCGCTTTGACATTACGCAAAAGCCACGCGAAAAGTGAAAATCACCGCACAAACTGGACTTTGCCGAAAACGGGTGAATACTAGCATTAGCTTAGCGTGCTTTAATTGCCTGCCAAATCATCAACGGACCGAACCGAACCGAACCGAACCGAACCGAACCGAACCGAACACGAAGCGGTTCGTGCGGCCGCCGATGCGTCTGTTAATCCAAACGGCAACGGCAACGGGCGGCGCTGCTGCAGCTGCTCTACAGTCCCACTCGCAGTCCCAGTACAATTACAGCAGCATGCGTGAGGACGATATCGAGCTGGCCATTAAGGTGGTAAGTTATCCAATACACATTAGCGTGAGCACCTGCCCTGACAGCCCCCTTGCCACTTCTCAATCCTTCAACTGGCACAGATCAAGCTATTAGAATGATGAATGTGTCCAGTGGCAATCAGCTGAGGATAGATTAAATGATACACTGGCAAAAATGCAATATTGGATTCTGTTTAATGGGTTTCTTTTTTTAAAGAACTTTATTGTGAACAATAAGAAAAATACTTGGATTAACTAGAAAATATTTTTTTTTCAGATTTCCGTTTAAACGAAATACTCGAAAACAAGTTCAATTCTTTAGATAAGAGTACTTCAGTACGAGTATCTTGTATTCGCGCGATTGATAAAAGTTCTTAAAATACAAATGTCATAAATTTTAAACTAATTCCGCTTTTACGCTTTTACTTGATTTAACTATAACACTCTGGTCCTTTTTCTCTCAGTGTGGCTGCTGCTGCAGCTTGTGCCGTGGATAAGCGTTAAATAATAACCCCAGCACAACACACACACACACACACACACACGCACACACCATCAGATACTTATATATATATTTGTAAGTCAGAACAATCACTGATCATTTACAACGGTTACTTTTCGCCGGTGAATGGGAAATTCTGAGAAAATGCCTCTTCTAGAATGTGTGACTCTTAAACAAAGCTGCACTCGAGTTTCCGCTTGAGGATTAAACGAAAGAAAATCTCTTGTTTAAGAGATTAAATAAGAGATTATGTAACTGCTAAATAACTGCTTTAAATCTTTATTCTCTTATGTTCCTAGAAAATCTTGATCTATGATTATTCTCAGATTTATAAACTTAAACAAAGTACTTAAAGTTTGATCTTTTGACAAATATTATTATTTAATATTAAATCAATTTTCATAATAATAATTATTTTAAACGAGAAATGAACTTATAGCTGATCGATCATCGAACACCTGCTTTTGACCTTTTCAGGTGATCGTCGGCAATGGAGGCGTTGGCAAGTCCTCAATGATCCAGCGCTATTGCAAGGGCATCTTCACCAAGGACTACAAGAAGACGATCGGCGTTGATTTTCTGGAGCGTCAGATCGAGATCGATGGCGAGGATGTGCGCATCATGCTGTGGGACACGGCCGGGCAGGAGGAGTTCGATTGCATAACCAAGGCGTATTATCGGGGCGCCCAGGCCTCAGTGCTGGTCTTCTCGACGACAGATCGCGCCTCCTTCGATGCGATCAAGGAGTGGAAGCGCAAGGTGGAGAACGAATGCAACGAGATACCCACGGTGATAGTGCAGAACAAGATCGATCTAATCGAGCAGGCTGTGGTCAGTGCGGACGAGGTCGAAACGCTGGCCAAGATGCTCAACTGCCGACTGATACGCACCTCCGTCAAGGAGGACATCAATGTGGCCTCTGTGTTCCGCTATCTGGCCACCAAGTGCCACCAGCTGATGACGCAGAGCTACGACCAGGCGGCCGGCGCCGACGGCAACAACAGTCAGCAGCAGTCAACGCATCCGCCCTACAGCAGCACGCCCACCATCAGCGCCTTCAGTCCGACCTTCACCAAGTCCAGCAGCGGCACCATTGTCCTGCGCCCGGCCAAAAAGGGCGCCAGCTCCAGTGCGGCGCGAAAGCGCAAAATTGTGCTCAAAAAGTGCGGCATCTTGTGAGGCAGCTAAGGGTAAGGGGTACGCGGGTATCTGTGCAGCTCTGGCCAATTAATAACTGGAGCATATTTAACGCTTTATTATTTTAGAGCCCCAAATCAAGTTGTAGCCATGTGACCAGCCAAGCGTTGGATGCAGCCACAGCCACAGCCTCAACCAAGTCGCAGTCAGAGCCATTCACTAGTCGTGCACAGACTCCGCAATGTTGGCAGTTATTGCATGATATGTGGAGTGGAGCAGGGGAGAGATGGGAATCGGGGGGTGTGAACAGATAAAAACAAAAAAAAACATAAGCACACGAATAGTTCAGTGAACAAAAACTTAGGCATAACGAAGTTTAAATACCCTTGCAGTCGGCAACATAAATAAATTAAAATATTTCTGATTGTGGTCCACTCTAACTGCCTAAACTCTGAGTTAATTGACTAATATTTCAGTTAATCCTTATAGTATCAGCAGACAATTTTGGTCCACTTTGATGGCCTTAAATGTTTGTTAATGAATAAAAAGTCAATTATATATTAAATATATATTAAATCATAAATAACTAATAATTCACGAATATTGTCAGGAATTAGATATATTTTGGTACAATTTGACAGAAAGTAAAACACAAAACCCTTTATAAGACACAAACCAAGAATTTAAGATGAAATCTATTAAATAAGTCAACTTAACTTCCTTTGGAAACTGATCTAAAAATTTTAATAATAATAATTTTATATGCAGTCAATTTTGATTCAATTCAAAATTTTGCAAATTTTCAATATCAAAACTTGTTGATCTACAAAATGTTTAAGATAGGATAAAATTTGGTTTCTCTGCGTTACGAAACGCTTTTAGTTGTGTATAAGACCCGTCTGCAAGGGTATTAACAAATAACAAGCTCAAAATGCATGTGCAATAATTTATGCAACTACTCAAATTTTTAGTCTAATTAGTTATAGATAAGCATGTAACCGACTTTTCACTGTATAATGCCCACTTTTCTATAACGGAGACTGATGCAGCATTCAATTTATATATAGATATAATTATTTATCTAATTATATATATGTGTGTGTGTGCGCCTGTAAAATTGTGTATGTATCTATATTAATACAAGTATATATACCCTATATAGAGCTATGTATATTTTCCTACTACAGCTAAGATTGGCTTTTTGGCTCGCTAGCACCGCCCCTCCTCCAACTGCGGGTTTCGAGGGCGCCTTCGTGTGAATCCTTCGTCAATTAGCCCTGGCAAAATGTGCAATTAATTGCTTAACTCATTTAATTATTAACCAAGCAAGAGGCATGTCGAAACGCAATTATGTTGTCTAGTGTACTATGCAAAGTGAGGGGCTACGTTTTGTCATTAATCCACTTGGCTTGAGAATAGATCTGCGAGTCCAAGCCCAAAATATGCAAATATTAACTATAGCTACATTATTATAACAAGAAATGTTATTACCTAAGCTCATAAATATTAAACTAATAAATTATTTTGTATATTTAACAATGCATGTGTTTTTATCGATCATGATCTTAATTATTTTAATTTTTAAGCCAGCAAAAGCAATGGAAAAAGAAAATATAAAATTCTGGAATCTGAAAACTCGAGTCTGTATTTTTCAGTTAAAATATCTGCAGAAATTTGTAAATACATATATAAATTCTATTCTCGCGAAGATGGCATAATTTTGTAAATAAAAGTGTTATTTATTGAAGAATGTAAGGCATATATATTCCTGATCCGTGACGTCAAGCGAGCTGATATTATCCGCCATTCTGTCTGTCTACTTAAATTCAATCTAGTTGGTTAATTTATCTTGATGAGATTTGTCATTCCAACTTCTCAATGCAGGCACTTTATACATCAGAGTTGCCTGGATCGCATCACTATACTCTATACTCTATAACCCATCAAAAATGGGTATAAGGGTATATTGTATTTGTGCAAAATCCAAATCCATCGAAGGAAGCATCTCCGACCCCATAAAGTATATACATTCTTGATCAGCATCAATAGCCGAGTCGATCTAGCCATGTCCGTCTGTCTGTCCGTCCGTCCGTGCGTATGTATGAACGCAAGGATCTCAGAACCTATAAGAGCTAGAGACTTGAAATGAATAAAAATAATCCGATAATCGATAACTTACTCCGTTTCCAAGCAATCGATAAAAATCGATATCGATATCCTTTTTTTTGGGCGATTTTGGTAAATAATAAGAGCTAGAGTCTCCAAACGTGACATATAGCTTATAAAATAGAATATATATATGCATTTGATGTTGGAAGAAGAGGATTCAGGGTATCCCCTAGTCGGGAGCTCCCGACATCTTGCTTGTTTGTTATTGCAGAATATAAGTGCAAGATCTTGCAACCAATGTGGTTAACTACACTTCCTACCACCTGGGAAAATCGGTAGTGAAATAAGTTCCTATATGAAGATGTTTCTGTTTTTCAAAATATCCAACACCAATATCTCATTTTCAAGATCTTACGATTATATAATATAGCTCATATAGGAACAAGCGGCGGTTAGCTTAGTTTCTGGGCGAAAAAAGGGTTATGTGGATAAATGTATGCTGGGATCGACTGCCACGCCTCCATGCGCCCACAATTATCAGATGCCGAAAGAAGCCATCGAGAATTTTACAATTTTTTTTTGTTTTATTTGATTTTCGCTTTTACACGGTTTGTTGTTGTATGCTTGCTGACAATTTGTTGTTAAACCTTCGTTTGTTTATGTTCTTTTTTAATTAAATTTAAATTGTTAAAAGTAAAATTTAGTGTTTTTTTTTTGTTTGTTTGTTTCTCTATATACAGTTGCGCTTTATATAATTTAAGCAGTTTTTTCTTTTGTTTAACCTCTTCACGCAATATTCCTCCTTAATGTGTATATATTGTATGTTGTTGTTGTTGTTGTTGTTTCCTTGTAAGTTATATAAGAAGGCAAAATATTTGTGATTTGCTATTTACAGAGACAATTGATAACTTTATAGGATAGTGAGAGCTATAGGTGTTAGATAGGCGGGGCTACGCCTCCGTTATCAAAAAACTTTCTCAGTTTGTGTGTGTGTGTGTGTGTGTGTGTGGTGGGTGTCATATGGTGGGGCGTGTGAAAAACTTTGAGTGATGTTTGGGAGGGGTCAGAACTGTGAAAATTCCTATAAAAATATAATTTATGCGTATAAATATTTGTTATATATATTATAATAGCTAGAAAAAAATTAATGTGAATTGCAAACAATTTCTTGGCACTAAAATATTAAAGGTGCAATTTTTCTTCTTCAAAACTATAACAAAAATCTAATTTAATTTATTTGATTTTGTGGTCATTTTTATTTGAAATAAAAATAGTTTGTGTATGTGTGTGTGTGTGTGTGTGTGTGTGTGTGTGTGTTTGTCTGTGTGGGACTTTAGTCGAACTCATTTACAGCTGTGATATAAGATTATACATTACAGATGTAGAGACTATAGACAACTATGATAGAACTTTAGCCGTTAGTTTCGTTACTTTTTTTTTGTTTTTTGTTTTTCCATTTGCAGAATTTGTAAACATTAAATTATTTAAGTATATAACTTTCTTCTTCATGTGCTATGTGAGTTTCTCGTGTGTGTGTGTGTGTGTGTGTGTTACGCCGTCATCTCCGCCGTGGCTCACTTGTCAAAGGCGGTAGTTGTGGGTTGGGATGGCGGAGGAAGGTGGCGATTCCTATATAAATAGTAAGAGTTTTAGCCTAAATAAACACGTCGCGACGTCTGTTGCCATTTCTATGCCGTTATCTACGGCTTCAGGACATCCTATATATAATTATATATAAAAACTTGTATTATTCTCGTACACTATTCGGAAATGGGAAAATCGGCTTCATCCTTGCCCTCCAGCGAGCGATACTCATCGGAATCCTCGCTAATGGTTGCCGTACCAACTGATCTTGGTAATGTTGCCGTTGTGTTTACAATTGGCTCCACAACAACAACAGCATCGCCAACTGTTGCCGTTGTTGTTGGTGTTGTTGCTGCTGCTGCTGTGGATACATAGATAGTGACTGGCTCTTCGACCAGATCGCTTGGATTTGCAGCCGAAACAGGATTGGGTACATTTGTGGTAATCGTTGTCGTCGTGTTGTCTGCCACAGGCTCCGGCTGTGCAGCTTCTTCCTTTGATTTCTTCTCACCCTCCTCCGCCTGTTGCGGTTGTTTTTGTTGTGGTTGTTGTGTTGGGGATTGTGTTATTATATCAGCAGAGGCCAACAGTAGATCCAACTTTAGTTTTCTTGATGCCGTTGGCTGCTCTGTTATCACAGACTGTGCTTGAGTTGCCGTCGCTGCTGCCGTTTCTGTTATTGTTGTTGTTATTGTTGTTATCGCTGTTGTTGCTGCTGCTGCTGTCGCTGTTGTTAATTCTGTGCCGCCGCCGCCGCCAGCAGCAAGCGCCAGCAATTCATCCTCCTCACTAACGCTGATGTAGCGACAGCGCTCACTGAGCAACGAGGCAGACTCGTCCTCCTCCTCGTTAACGCTAGAGATGCTCACCGTGCGCTCCTTGAAGCTCTGATAGACGCTGCTGCCAGCAATGCTCGTTGAACCGGGCGCATCAATCACATCTCGCACCGCCGTCGCCAGCTGCCAGCGGCTAATAACGCCGATTGAGCTTGCTGCTAATAAAAAATGGGTAAGAGAAAGATTTAGTTAATTGTTATCTGTTATCTGAATTAACAGCTATTAGTCAACAATTAGTGAACGCCCAAGCTTGCATTTAAACAACCCATTTTCCCCTTTAAGTGTGCTAATAAGAACATTTAGCTAAACCTGATTATAATTCTTTATGCGAATTAGCAAAAAAGTGGACAGTTTCATTATCCCAAAGGTGTTAACACACAATATACATTCTATATCCTTAATTCTTTTATTCTTATCGAATAGAATTATTTCAGAATTCATGACAAGTTCCAAGCACAGTTCAGCTCGTTTTTTGTTATGAAATGAGTTTAATTAAATTAATTGGAAGTACATTTTAAATCCGTTGTAGCTATTCCTTTTTAACCTAATGACAAGTTCTTTACGTTTTTATCAATGCAATAAAATAGATTAAAACTAAAATGAGCTCCTGGAACTAGCATTTTAAAAGGTAAACACAAAAAATAAATAACTTTATGGCTGTTGAGCTGTTCTACACAATGCCTTTGTCTCCACTTTACAAATATAATTTTTCATATTTATTTAATAAATAGTTCCGGAATAACTAACTAACCACTTGTAAGCTTCAGTGCGTTCACCCCGTGACTGTTAGCCGCCCGCTCACTCACTTACATTCCAAACGCTCGCGACGCAACGGATAACGCGAGGACAATGGCGCCAGCTTGATCCGATAGAATTTGGAGCCCTTGCTGACACGATAACGATTCTCGTCCTGTGTGGCAAACAAGAGGCTTAGTTTGGATTTACTCAAGAGAGACTATTGTGACTGTGAGCTCACCTTGCGCGCCTGGCAGTACTCCTTGTCGATGATGCGCCCGATGGCGTAGTAGGGCAGCGGTATGTGATTTAGTTCCGCGACAGCCAGTGGTCCCTCGGCGCCAGGCGGCAGAGAAGAAGATGCCGTCGTCGTAGGCGCCGTCAGTTGCAGAGCAGGCAAACTGTCCGCATGCACAAAGTAAAGGGTGAGCGAATCCTGCACGACCATGAACTGGCCATGCCGCATGCTCCAAATCACAAACACCAAATCGCCCTTGCTGCAGCCCTCGAGCGTGATGTGGCGATGACTCGACGAGGAGGAGCCACCGCCGCCACCGCCACCGCCACTTGACTTGGAGCGCGTCAGTGTGCCGCTCATGCCTGCAGCGCCCAGTTCATAAGTGGAACTGTTTTTATAGAAGACAGTATTAATCAATCAGTAAATAAGTCAATCAATCAATCAGTCGCCCAGTCATCAGTCAGTCAGCGATTCAATCGGTAAATCAATCTACCAGCCAAAAATTATCTGGTTAATTATAATTATAATTTCACTAAGTAATTTTATCAGTCTATCAATAAGTCATTAAATTATTTATTCAGTCTTTAAGTGAAACAGACAACATCGTTATTCAGTCAATCAATCAATTAATCACTTAATCAGTTGTATATATGCAGACAGACAATCCGACCGTTAGTCAGTCAATCGGTAAGTCAAATACAATCACTTAGCTTATAAGCCATCAGTCAGTCAGTCAATCAATTGGGGGGACAATCACAGCGTTTAAATATTCAATCAGTCAGTATATACGACAAGTCAGTGGGTCAATCAATAGGTTAGTTGGTCAGTAGTAATCAGTCAATCAATTATTCAATCAGTCAGCGTATAAGCCAATTCAGTCAATCAGATCATTAGATAGACAACCAGACTGTTAGTTCAGTCAATTAGTCATCAGTCGAGCAATTATTCAGTCAGTTCATTAGACATCAATCAGTGTATCAGTCAATCAGGTTGATGAGCTCACCTTCTCATTGCAGCCACACTGGACTCCATTTCAA